CGATCTATCTCTTGTTGCCGGTATTGAGCCTTCGTCCAATCAGCAACACAAGCTTGCATCTCCACTGATTCTGGATCTAATCTTGAACGATGTTCGTTCAAAATATTACCTCCGGCACTGAATGCTTGTTCGACCGCAACTGTGGAACAAGGGGTTGAAAAAATCTGTTTTGCAATAAGAGAAAGGATTGGGTATTGGCTTGCGTGCCTCTTCCACCAATCCAAAATAAAAAAATCTGTACCACCTTCGGCTTCAGTAAACTCAAATAAAATGGTTAGATAACTCTCTAATTCAGAAATATTTCCTATTACTCCCTTTTGTTTTTTTTGTCTATGTAATAAAAGTTGGTACCCTCTACTAATTTTACCTGTATTGTCATTTTGTATCTCCGTAGATTGAGAAGATGTAATATCACCTAAATTATATTTAGTATAAAATTCATTATATAATTCTATTACTACGTTTTTAACCTCACGTACTATGGTTGTAACATTTGTCACATCATAATGTAAACATTGATAATACGCACGCAAAAAATCATTTAAGCCATCCAATTTGCAACGCGGATCAAAAACACAAGCAACTAAATAAATCATGGGAATTTCACTATAATAATGAAGCCATTTCATTTTCATTGCAACTATAGTATGTTGTAATTCAACATCATTTTCATATTCATCAAAAGTTCCGACTATATTAGTACACTCTACTAAAAATAAATGTGTAGTAGGATAATAAACACCAGACAAAGTATAAGTTGCATCATTAAAAACCTTTAAAAGATCTAAAAATTTTTGGCAAATATGCCACTCTTGTGGGTATAAATTAATCTGAGGTATATTATTAGAAATGAATGCACATAATAAATCTTTATATGCTAAAGATTCACTAAGCAAGTGGAAAGTAGAATTCCAACGAGTTGGAACATCTCTTGGAAATCTTTTTGGCTTTTTGCCATTTTCTCTACAAAATCTACCCCATTCTTTCATTTTTTGGGGATGTTTCCATAAAAATTGAATCGCCGTTTTTATTGGTTGAAGAAAAATATCAAGAGTTTTCAAACCATCTTGTACACATAAATTTAAAACATGACAAGCACATCTAATGTGAAAAAATTTTCCGCCAAAAGCGGGTTTACAAATATTTTTTAACTCGGCAATTGAAGCGGTATTTGCTGCGGCATTATCAAAACCAATTGAAAAAATTTTGTTAAGCAAATAATATTCTTCTAAAACTTGCCTAATTATTCTATAAATATTATTTGCCGTATGATGATCATCGAAAACTCTAAATGCAATAACTCTTTTTTGAATAGTCCACTCGTCATCTATCCAATGACATGTTATGCCCATGTAAGAATGATTTTGCCAATGATCACTCCAAATATCGCTACCTATATGCACGCATCCATTAAATTGCATAAAAAAGTTTTGTAAATCATTTTTTCCATTTTTGTAAAGATCTTTAATTACTCGTTTAATTGAATTTCTAGGAACACGTTTTGCTTGTGGAGCACATGCTTTTTGTACAAATTCATTAAAACCAAATCTTTCTCCAAAATTAAATGCTAAATGCTCAACGGAAATAAATTTGCCTAATTCTTCCTTATAAGTTTTTTCATTAAAACAAAATAAATGGGAAGTGTTAGGATTGACGTACCCGGAAATTTGTTGTTGCCCGATATCGATTCCCGTTTCGGTTGGATGTTTGCTCATAAGATGTCGTTTAAATGTTCTATATCCTTGTCCACCTGTATATTTATATATTTTTCCACAATATTTACAAATTATATCATACCTTTTTTGACCGATATCAAACCTTTCCATTTTCGTGAAGTGATTCCAAATGTCAGATGTAAATTCCCGTTCCGCTTCCTTTGTTGTAGATATTTCAGCAGGGGGATGAAAACTTTCTTGCGTCGGGACGCGCTCCACATCGCGAAAAATGTTGATTTCATCATCTTGAAAATCTGCATATTCACGAGGATCAAAAGAATGATGGGATTCCGTCGCGATATTCTTACCTTTGCCAGTTGGCACTCGACTTCCACTTGCCATTTTTCGAATGGATTGAGAGAATTGAGCGGATTAATTGGGAGAATTAAGAAAGAATTGCGTGGATTGAGAAAATTGAGAGAATTTCAGAGAATTTGAGAGAATTTCGAGTATTGAGAAAATTTGAGACTTGAGAGAAGAGAATTGGAGAGAATTTGAGAGAATTGTGTGTGTATTGTGAGAATTTGAGAGAATTTATAGGAAAAAAATAGAAGAAAATTTAGAATTAAAAATAAAAAACATAACCGTTGCAAAATTGCAACGGTTATGTGTTTTTTTTTTAATAAAAACGCCCGTTGGGGCGTAGCCGTTGCCCCAACGGGCTGCAAGGTGCAAGCCCGCAGCAGGGCCTGCACGTCTGCAGGCCCTGCTGCGGATAAATTTTTTTTTTTTTTTTTTTTTTGGGTTTGGCCGTTGCCTGGCAACGGGCTGCTGCTGCTGCAGCATGGCCTGCAATGCAGGCTGTGCTGCAGCCTGCCTGCAACTTTTTTTTTTTTTTTAAAAATTTTTGTTATTTATTTATTTTTTTCGCAGAACCGGCCCGGAACCGGCGGTTCCGGGCCGGTTCAAATTTTTCTGGAACCGGAACCGGGCCCGTATGCCACGGCCCGGTTCCGGTTCCGGTTCCGAACCGCGGGCCCGGGTTTGACCGGGCCGGTTCCGGTCCGGTTCCGGGCCAAAACCGGCCCGTGGCCACCTCTAAATAGTGGACGTAACAATAATTCGAATGACTAACATGTAAATTTGACTAAGTAGTAGTTTTTGGTTTTTTTGATCGGGTACTAAGTGGTAGTTTAAGAAGGAACAAATTGTGAATCCACTACCTTTTCTAAATCACGCACTTCACAAATTTCCGTTCACATTTAAGTATATGAATATGTCGGTCGCTATTCATCTTTTATTTGAACATTAGGTTTAAGTATTTGAAATCAGACTTTGACTGTAAAAGTAACAATCTCAAGCCCAATCTGCAAAAGGCTATGAAGTCTGACATTTGAACTTCTTCACAGAATTTCCAGGACACTTATTGAACAACTAATAATTAGAGAAATTTTGCAGTTTCGAAATGCTTTCTCGTGCTATGTAAAGTTTTGAAAATAGAAGTTATTCCATATAAAATATGCTTAATAAACTCGTTAACATGACTCTTAATATAATAATAAAGATATGTCTAGATCTCAATCGCCAAGAAAAGTTTATACTGGCGATGTTTCTAAGGATTCGTCTCATAATATTCTGTTCTCTTTCCTTTATATTGAGAAAAAAAGGCGGCGATTTTGATTCCTGAAATTTGCACCCGAAATTCCGTAAATTATCCGTTTTGTAAATGAAAGATATTATGGTAAACGAACCTAAATTATCATAAATCCCACCTTGCCTCTTCCACTCACCCAACAACAATTTCATCATATCTGTTGTCCTCTCTCTCTCTCTTTTCAATCATCGCCACTATTGTTTGACGAGTGTGAATGCCCTTTACACAAGTTGGGAGTAAGAAAGCAACAGCACTGGATGTTTTTATGAGCAAAGACTTTGACTGAACAAAATCTCTACAAAAACAAAAGGAGAGAAGAGAGGGAGAGGACGAGAGATGTTCAAGTGTCACGTCAGGAAAATAGAGCAAAGAAAGCAACAGCACTGGAAGATATCACGAGCAAAGTCTTTGACCGACCAAAATCTCTATAAAAATAAGGATTAATATAACGAAACACCTTAAACCTTTACGTATATGATAAATTTATCCTCAATTAATTTTCTTAAATTTTATTATCAAATTGCTAAGTTGAATTATGCGTGACAGTTGATGGGTGTACCGATTTAGGGTTTTATTCCTCATTTTGTCACAATTTTACCAGTTTGTGATTTTTTGTAGTATTAATCCAATTTAACGGAGGATAAATTTATCACAAGTATACCGGTTTAGGGTTTTTGGTGGTCAAAAAATTAGTTAGGGGTAAATTTATCACAGGTGTACCAGTTTAGGATTTTTTGTAGTAAAAAAATTAGTTTAGGATAAATTTATCATGTGTATTAATTTGGGATTTTCATGGTATTAACTCTAAAAACAAAAAGAGAAAAGAGAGTGAGAGGACGAGAGATGTTTATCTGTTATGTCAGGAAAATAGAGCAAACAAAGCATTAGCATTGGAAGATTTCACGAGCAAAGACTTTGACTGAACAAAATCTCTATAAAAATAAGGATTAATACCACGAAAAACTCTAAACTGATACACTTATGACAGTTTATCCTAAACTAATTTTATGACCACCAAAAATCGAACTAGTATATTTGTGACAAATTTACCCTTTGTTAAATTAGATTAATACAAAAAAATCACAAATTAGTACACTTGTGACAATCAAAGGGTAAAATCTTAAACAGGTACATCCGTCAACTGCTACGTGTCATTTAACTTAGTAATTTGATGGTAAAATTTAACGGAAATTAATGGAGAGTGAATTTGTCATGGATGTACCAATTTAGGGTTTTTAGTAGTCAAAAAATTAATTTTGGGTAAATTTATCACAGGTATATCAGTTTGGGATTTTTCATGATATTAACCCTAAAAGCAAAGTGAGAGAAGAGAGAGAAAGGACGAGAGATGTTCAACTGTCGGCTCATAGAAATCCTTGTCACGTGAAATTTGCATATCTACTTGTGCAATTTCTACTTTTTTTTTTTGGTTAGAATACTTTTTTTTTTATTTTTTGTCAAAGTTAGAATACTTTAGTTTGATAGGTGCTGGCATTGCTCAGTCTTGACATCAAAATCAATAAGTATATCGATACAACCAATTAATAAGCTATTTTCTTTTGCGTCAATCTAAATAGAATTTGAACTAAAGAGTATATCATGCGATTCTATTCATATATTTATAATTGCAAGGAAATATTTTACGTACGTATTGACATTTGCATCTTATCCAATATTCGACGCATTGATATCACCCCGTAGTTGACTCGTGGGAAGTTTTGTATACATAAAGAAAATGAATTTAACACAATGGAACAGAAGAAGCACACATGTCTAGGCTCCAATATGTGATCATCGAGGGTATAACTCAGTGATGGAAGCCTCGTTCACTGATTCTTGGATTTGTCTGTTTTCGGATTGATCCGAATGAGTTGCCGTCTCCCGCGACGCTATGTCAAATTCAGAGATACTGTGCATAATGAATGCAGGTCGTGATGGTACTGGCATGGTGGTGGAGTAACTATTGAGCATCAAAACCACCGCACCCATGGTTGGTCTCTCGGCCTCAATTTCTTGAACACACAGCAATCCAACATGAATGCACCTCAACATTTCGGTCCTCGAACCATTGGCCAGGTTAGGATCTATGAGATTTGAGGGGGTCCCTTCCCTCCAACTCCTCCATGCCTGCAATGAATCACAAACGCAAACTCAGTATGGTAAAAACAATTACTCGACTCATTCAAGTTCGAGTCCACCAATCTTTTCCGGTAATTCTTTGGGGGAAGGAGAGTGATTGAAAGATATTTTCTTACATAGATAAGAAGGTCCTCTGTGGTATCCCCATTGCAGAAGCGGCTACTTTTTTGACCACTAATAATCTCTAGTAGCAACACCCCAAAACTAAAGACATCTGACTTGACTGAGAACAATCCATGCATTGCATACTCTAGAGCCATGTACCCACTGCATCACAAAAATAATGAGCACTTTCAACACACTTCCATTTAATATGATGTGCCTTTATATCTGCTAGCTATTCAGATTATATGGAGAAGAGCACAGGAAATTTATTTTAAGATATTCTGCTACCATTACTTACTAAGTGCCAACAACCCTGCTTGTGGCGCCTTGAGTTTGATCCACCACAAATAGCCTTGCTGTACCAAAATCTGAAATTTTAGGGGTCATCTCCGCGTCAAGCAAAATATTGCTCGCTTTAAGATCCCGATGAATGATTCGAAGTTGAGAATCCTCGTGAAGATAAAGAAGCCCACGAGCAATGCCTCCTATTATCTTTTGACGCCTTTCCCAATCCAGCTGCCTACGCCTAACAGGATCTGCATAGCATATTGTAATTAAACAAAATTATATGTAAATTACTAGACATTTAATTTCATGCACAAAACATTCACTAAATTGCATGATAGGGCAAAATTGGAAATTAACATGGCTAAAGGCAAAATAGTAATTCAGTGGCCAAGGGCAAAATAGGAATTTCACGTAATGTGCACGACCCCTGCACGCTACCTACACGCACAACTCAAATGCTCCCCAATCAATGCCATCCAATCGGGAAACAATCCATGCATTGCATACTCTGGAGCCATGTACCCACTGCATCACAAAAATAATGAGCACTTTCAACACACTTCCATTTAATATGATGTGCATTTATATCTGCTAGCTATTCAGATTATATGGAGAAGAGCACAGGAAATTTATTTTAAGATATTCTGCTACCATTACTTACTAAGTGCCAATAGCCCTGCTTGTGGCGCCTTGAGTTTGATCCACCACAAATAGCCTTGCTGTACCAAAATCTAAAATTTTAGGGGTCATCTCCGCGTCAAGCAAAATATTGCTCGCTTTAAGATCCCGATGAATGATTCGAAGTTGAGAATCCTCGTGAAGATAAAGAAGCCCACGAGCAATGCCTCCTATTATCTTTTGACGCCTTTCCCAATCCAGCTGCCTACGCCGAACAGGATCTGCATAGCATATTGTAATTAAAAAAAATTACATGTAAATTACTAGACATTTAATTTCATGCACAAAACATTCACTAAATTGCATGATAGGGCAAAATTGGAAATTAACATGGCTAAAGGCAAAATAGTAATTCAGTGGCCAAGGGCAAAATAGGAATTTCACGTAAAGTGCACGACCCCTGCACGCTACCTACACGCTACCTGCACGCTACCTACGCGCACAACTCAAATGCTCCCTAATCAATGCCATCCAATCGGGAAACAATTCATGCATTGCATACTCTGGAGTCATGCACCCACTGCATCACAAAAATAATGAACACTTTCAACACACTTCCATTTAATATGATGTGCCTTTATATCTGCTAGCTATTCAAATTATATGGAGAAGAGCACAGGAAATTTATTTTAAGATATTCTGCTACTATTACTTACTAAGTGCCAACAGCCCTGCTTGTGACGCCTTGAGTTTGATCCACCACAAATAGCCTTGCTGTACCAAAATCTGAAATTTTAGGGGTCATCTCCACGTCAAGCAAAATATTACTCGCTTTAAGATCCCGATGAATGATTCGAAGTTGAGAATCCTCGTGAAGATAAAGAAGCCCACGAGCAATGCCTCCTATTATCTTTCGACGCCTTTCCCAATCCAGCTGCCTACGCCTAACAGGATCTGCATAGCATATTGTAATTTAAGAAATTATATGTAAATCACTAGACATTTAATTTCATGCACAAAACATTCACTAAATTGCATGATAGGGCAAAATTGGAAATTAACATGGCCAAAGGAAAAATAGTAATTCAGTGGCCAAGGGCAAAATAGGAATTTCACGTAATGTGCACGACCCTTGCACGCTACCTGCACGCACAACTCAAATGCTCCCCAATCAATGCCGTCCATTCGGGAAACAATCCATGCATTGCATACTCTAGAGCCATGTACCCACTGCATCACAAAAATAATGAGCACTTTCAACACACTTCCATTTAATATGATGTGCCTTTATATCTGCTAGCTATTCAGATTATATGGAGAAGAGCACAGGAAATTTATTTTAAGATATTCTGCTACCATTACTTACTAAGTGCCAACAACCCTGCTTGTGGCGCCTTGAGTTTGATCCACCACAAATAGCCTTGCTGTACCAAAATCTGAAATTTTAGAGGTCATCTCCGCGTCAAGCAAAATATTGCTCGCTTTAAGATCCCGATGAATGATTCGAAGTTGAGAATCCTCGTGAAGATAAAGAAGCCCACGAGCAATGCCTCCTATTATCTTTTGACGCCTTTCCCAATCCAGCTGCCTACACCTAACAGGATCTGCATAGCATATTGTAATTAAAAAAATTATATGTAAATCACTAGACATTTAATTTCATGCAAAACATTCACTAAATTGCATGATAGGGCAAAATTGGAAATTAACATGGCCAAAGGTAAAATAGTAATTCAGTGGCCAAGGGCAAAATAGGAATTTCACGTAATGTGCACGACCCCTGCACGCTACCTGCACGCACAACTCAAATGCTCCCCAATCAATGCCGTCCAATCGGGAAACGATCATATGGTGTGACAAGTGTATATGCCAACTTCTTTGAAGAAATACTTTTACGAAGTATGGAGGATTCTATGCACAGGACGAGCTTGAAGGAGAGAAGAGCACACAATGGATTCCAAAACGAAAGCAGTGAGGTGCATATCATTTCCAATGAATCTGTGTGGTAAGAAATGACTTCGCTGAAGAAATCTATGCCTTTTGTTGTTGTCGTCGCGTTTGTGCTCATCGAATTCAAACCCATCACTGGCCAACGAACCTACAATTACCATGTCTGTTCAAGCTCCTCCAATGACACAGCAAACTCTAATTTCAGTTCCAATCTTGCCTCACTTTTAGATTCTTTATCCTTTGAAGCATCCCTTAACCATAGCTTCTACAAGAACAGCTCCAGCGGCATCTTTAGCTCTTCCTCTGCCGGGGAGATGTTCCGAGCAGCCCCCGCCAGTCCTGCATCGAGAATGCGACTCAGACGCTCCCCAATCGATGCCCGTCCAACCAGGAAGCGATCATATGGTACAACGAGTGCATGCTGCACTACTCGAATGCCGACTTCTTTGGAGTAATGGCGACATACCCGAGGGTCTTCATGTGGAATGTCCAAAACAACACATCGCCCAATGAACCTGATGTCAACGCTCTAGCTTTGATATACAATCTTGTGGCTAATGTTCCATATACTACTACGATGTATGGAGTGCTTGAATCCGACGAAGGTGATAGTTCACAGCAAAGATATGGACTTGGGCAGTGTAGTAGAGACATCAACAGTACTCAGTGCATCGCTTGTTTGGCTCAGCTGACAGAGGATATCAAGCAGTGCTGTGAAGGGAAAAGGGGTTGGCGAATTCTGAGCCAAAGAATTTTTATTATATTAGTATGGTTAATTACAATCAATGTCTATTTTCAATATATGATCCAAAGGTTCTTAGTATATATAATTTAAGATAATCAAAGATGTTGTAGCTAATCACAATCTCTAATTAAAAAAAATTATATGTAAATCACTAGACATTTAATTTCATGCACAAAACATTCACTAAATTGCATGATAGGGCAAAACTGGAAATTAACATGGCCAAAGGCAAAATAGTAATTCAGTGGCCAAGAGCAAAATAGGAATTTCACGTAATGTGCACGACCCCTGCACGCTACCTGCACGTGTTGTACAACTCAAACGCTCCCCAATCAATGCCGTCCAATCGGGAAATAATCATATGGTGTGACAAGTGTATGCCGCACTACTCGGATGCCAACTTCTTTGAAGAAATACTTTTACGAAGCATGGAGGATTCTGTGCACAGGACGAGCTTGAAGGAGAGAAGAGCACACAATGGATTCCAAAACGAAAGCAGTGAGGTGCATATCATTTCCAATGAATCTGTGTGGTAAGAAATGACTTCGCTGAAGAAATCTATGCCCTTTGTTGTTGTCGTCGCGTTTGTGCTCATCGAATTCAAACCCATCACTGGCCAACAAACCTACAATTACCATGTCTATTCAAGCTCCTCCAATGACACAACAAACTCTACTTTCAGTTCCAATCTTGCCTCACTTTTAGATTCTTTATCCTTTGAAGCATCCCTCAACCATAGCTTCTACAAGAACGGCTCCAGCGGCATCTTTGGCCTCTTCCTCTGCCAGGGCGATGTTTCGAGCAGCTCCTGCCAGTCCTGCATCAAGAATGCGACTCAAACGCTCCCCAATCGATGCCCGTCCAACCAGGAAGCGATCATATGGTACAACGAGTGCATGCTGCACTACTCGGATGCCGACTTCTTTGGAGTATTGGCGACATACCCGAGGGTCTTCATGTGGAATGTCCAAAACAACACATCGCCCAATGAACCTGATGTCAACGCTCTAGCTTTGATATACAATCTTGTGGCTAATATTCCATATACTACTACGATGTATGGAGTGCTTGAATCCGACGGAGGTGATGGCTCACAGCAAAGATATGGACTTGTGCAGTGTAGTAGAGACATCAACAGTACTCAGTGTAGCGCTTGTTTGGCTCAGCTGACAGAGAATATCAAGCAGTGCTGTGAAGGGAAAAGGGGTTGGCGAATTCTGAGCCCGAGCTATAATCTCCGATATGAGGATTACCTTTTCTATTAGCAGCAAGTGGCTTCACTTCAACCGGTTCCAAGTGCGACACCGCCTTCATCTACAAATAAAGGTCAATACTCGGAAATGCATATGCGATGTAAAGCAGGCTCGTTCCTAGGACTAGAAAAGTATAAGATGATTTGGTGTACAAGTTATGAGTCATAGAATTAACCACTCTTGATGCTTAGAAAGTGTACGATTAGTCTAGTTTACGTATTCATGGACATTTGTTTACCCTTCCTCTGCCCTAACTGTAGGCTCTGATGTAAGATTCACTGAGTTTAAAGCAAAATTAGTTGTGTCCAACGAACGAGTTTAGGGAATGTCTTGCTAGGCAGAGGAGGAGTTTGTTATTTGCCCATGTAAAACCTTAGACAGGGTCAATGTCAGTAATTTGGTTTTCCGGATCTATGGTTGATTCAATTCTCTATATGGAAAATTCTGGTATCAACTGTTAGTAAATGTGTGCCTTTTGTTGCTATAAATTGTTTGTGTTGAACTCCAACCACAGCGGCTAGAGAATCACTTCCTTTAGGCTCACTTTCTGTCTTTCAAATTCATCCACAATTAGGACTATAGTCCCGTCAGTGTTAGCATTGTTTCTGATCCCCAGTTTGATGCGCTAATTGAAAGCAGGAAAGAGAGGAAAAAACACGACGAAGATTATAGCCATCACTCTGTCATTGATTTCAGCAGTGGCAGCACTTCTGGTGTCTTGTTACTTCTCATCCAGGCGTAGAAAGAGTCAGCAAGGAGGTTCATGTAATGGACAATCCATTAATGGGTAACACTAGTTTAGTCTTACTCTAACGCATAGTGATTATACAGATGGAGAAACAAGTGAAGAAATACTTTTACGAAGCATGGAGGATTCTGTGTACAGGACGACGTCAAGACACGACTCAAACGCTCCCCAATCAATACCCATCCAACCAGGAAACGATCATATGGTACGACGAGTGCATTTCGCACTACGCGAATGCCGACTTCTTTGGAGTGATGGCGACATACCCAAGGGTCTTCATGTGGAATGTCTAGAGCAACACATCGCCCAATGAACCGGATGTCAACACTATGGCTTTGATATACAATACTATGATGTATGGAGTGAATGAATCTGATGGAGGCGACGGCTCACAACAAAGATATGGACTTGTGCAGTGTAGTAGAGACATCAATAGTACTCAGTGCAGCTCTTGTTTGGCTCAGCCGACGGAGGATATTAAGCAGTGATGTGAAGGGAAAAGGGGTTGGCAAATTCTGAGGCCGAGCTGTAATCTCCGATCCGAGGATTACCTTTTCTATCAGCAATTGGCGGCTTCACCTCAACCGGTTCCGAGTGCGACCCCACCTTCATCTGCAGATAAAGGTCAATGCTCATAAAAGCTTATACAATGTAAAGCAGGCTCGTTCCTAGGACTGGAAAACTACAAGATGATTTGGTGCACAAGCTATGAGTCATAGAACTAACCAATCTTGATGTTTAGAAAGTGCACAATTAGTCTTGTTCACGTGGTCATGGACATTCGTTAACTCTTCCTCTGCCCTAACTTTGTTTGCGTGGTCATTGTGTTTAAAGCAGAATTATTTTTATCTATGGAACGAGTTCAGGACATGTCATGCTAGGCAAAGGAGAAGTTTGTTATTGGCCCATGTAAAACCTTAGACTGGATCAACATCAGTAATTTGGTTTTCCGGATTTATGGTAGATTCAATTCTGGTCACTATGTGCCCGGATATATGAAAATTTCAGGTATCAACTGTTAGTAAATGTGTGCCTTTCGTCGCTGTAAATTTGTTTGTGCTGAACTCCAATAATAGTGGCTAGAGAATCACTTCCTTTAGGCTCACTCCGTGTTGTTCAAATTCATCCGCAATTAGGACTGTAGATCCGAATTTAGGCCTACTATGTCGATGGTCATCCTCATGGTCAGGAGTGAATCGGACCTTCCTCACCCAAAATCGCCTCCCTTCTCTATAGGAAGATCTTTCATGTCAGAGCAAATCTTCCACCGGCACAAGCATCGGATGCCTCTCTTTTGATAAATCTTCTGCAAGTACATCTAACTAATCATTGCTAATCTTGCAACAACCTTCTACGGACGAAGTCTTCCTAGAACTTCAGTGTCACTTCGCCGAAAAGGCCATTATTTCGATATATAACAAAATTTTGTGTGCTAAAGTCAATGAGATTTAATTTTTCCAATCTTATTTACATGTATATTCACCTCCTCGATCTAATATGACGGGCCGGATTTTCTTAGCTGAATTTCATGTGACATATAGGTCCATCAAATGAGTGGGTCGGATTAAGTTTGGGTTGGGTCGAATATGGTCCCACCCATATTGACTCATATAACCCATTTTCACTCAATGCAATTTTTATGACCTATACCCGACCCGTACTCGACCCGTACTCGACCTGACCCGTATTACCAAAACACATTAATATTCTAGGAAAACTTATGCCGACCCATTTAACTTATTTTAAGCTTTTCACATGT